GCCGCGCCGCGCCGCTCGGCGGACAAAGGTGGGTTGTTGGCGCCGGGGCCCTGGGGCGCTGCCTCGCCTCCGCGGGCCTTTGTCCCTGCGCGCCCGGGCCCTCGGCCGTGTCCCCGTGTCCGTGCGGCTCGCAGCTCTCCGGGACTCCACGTGCGGGCGGCGGGGAGACACGTCTCGGGTGCCCGCCGGCACTTGGGAGAAAGTGCAGGATGGCCAAGGCTTGCGAGCTGGCACTCCTGGCGCGCCTACTGGCACCAGCATTGCTCTTCCAGGTTTCTGCTGCCCTCAAGCGGGATCGCCCTTTTTCCTGGGTGAAAGCACATTCCTGTAAGGAGAATGTGGTCAGCATAGCTAAGAGTTGGCATGGGTTGATTCAGACGCGTTGGCTCAGAGTTTTGAGGTGAAACCCCAAAGCTGTTCAAAGAATAGATCTGTTTTATCTTTCATTTCTTTCGTCCGGTATCTGAGCGTCGGTTCCAGCCCTTTGGGCAGCCAAGATAAATTGATATATGTTTGCCTTTATTGAACTTTGGCATATTTATCGGGTCTTTTAATATTGAGGAATTGCCAGTAATGTAACCTGAGAGTTGCTTACACTTTCAAGTTCAGCATTTCAAAATGTTCATGCAGTGACTTAAGTGGAGAGTTTGGCGCTCTGTGGCCCAATGAGTATAAAACCGACCAAATTATTATGTATTACTGTTAAGTGTCATAGCACCCAACAGTCCTCCATGTAACTTATTAACCATTTGTGCTTTATATTAACCATTTCACCATCCCAATTGTTTTGTGTACTTTTTTCATCAAATTATTGGTAATAAAGGGAAATCTTGGACCAAGTGACTGCATAGACCAGTGATTCTGAACCAGCTGTGAGGTCTTTTTTTTAGGATGCCACATAATATTAGCGCCATTTGGTTTTGCAGACATCTACACCTGATTCACAAGAGACTTCAAATAGGAATCCATAGTGTCGGCAACATTCTGACCTCTGGTGATCTTTTGAGTTCTTTGCAACCAAACTGCTCTGTTAGTTTTCTCTGGTCAAGAAATAAGGAAAAATGAGGAAGTGGCATTTTCCAAGGGTTGCCTTGGGTCTGATAAGGGGCGCCTTGTGTCTAAACAGTTTGAGAATCATTGACTTAGACATTCAGAGTTCTAAAACAATCATCTCCCTGATTATGAATCACAAGCCATTTGAAGAATCTGAAGGAAACAGTAAAGCAAAAATATACTATTTTTTAAAAAGTTTGTGGACTGCAAATTATACTGTTGTTTATACTCTGTTATAGAGATGTGACCTTCAGCCTCAAAGTTAAGGTTTTAATTGTTTCCAGTAATATCTTATTTTGACTTCTAGTTTAAAAACTTTAGATAGATCTCAGTATGCAAACTGATTGCTAGGGAGGATTGCCAGTGCAAAACGAATCATTTTTCCTACCAACGGCTCATGAGGTAAGCCACCAAATCTCCAAGCGTTTAGAAACAGAGTAATTATTCCTGCAATGCTTGAGTGCCATTCAGGTTGATGTGTGCAGCGTTAGTTTCAATTTAATAATGTTTTGGTGTAGATAAAATCAACCAGATAATGTATTTTGTAGCAGCTGTGAAGCTTCATCTAAAGATATGGAAGCCTCAATTTGCTGCCTAAGTCTTGTAAAGCTAATAATGGTTCTTGTTTTGTGTGTTTTGTCTGTGACATTGTTATGTTACTGCAGTGAGGCAGTTGAGATGAATGTACTGTAATGCAATGGAGTATAGTTGAATAGTAGTTTAAAAACTCACATGCTCAGAGTTCAGACCTGAGATCAATGAGTCATGCTACGAAGAAGGATGATTTTGGTTTAATATCCAGAATCTGTCTCCCACTTCCCAAGGGCCCGATCCTTGGAATACACTCATTTAGTAGGAGTCCTAGGGAGAGATGTTTTGGAGAATTGTGGGGGGAAAAAGGCTTTGTACCAGAGATGGGGGTACAATGCATATGTCTTTCCATTATGTCTTTTATTTGCATGTCATGACCACCTAGCAGTGCTCTGGATTTCCTGCAACGTCTAAATCTTACTTGCTTTGTGAATATTCCATTTCTAAAGATTCCCGTACAGGTTTAGTGTCAAGCAGCTGTTGTGTGAAATCAGTTGTCGTTGGCAGTAAAAGAAAGGAATGGCCCAAAATAGCAAAAAGTTCTGCGCGTGGGGAATTTTCTCATTCCATTACTAGAA